TTTTGGCTTATGTCTGTGGACTCTCTCTCTCTCTCTCTCTCTCTCTCTCTCCCTCTCTCTCCCTCTCTCTCTATCTCTCTCTCTATATGAAGTTTCTGGTGACCACTGATGAGGAGAGAACAGATGTTCCCACTTCTAATTCCACTTATGTTCTAGTGAAACAATAATAAGCCAATAGCTATCAAACATACTATGTTCAATTTCCTTTATTTGACCAAGAAATAACTTTATTCTTATCTGGTGTGATCTTACTTACACATTATGTTCTTTTCTGTTTGTTCATTTTTCTGTAATCTTGTAAGTTACCTTAACCCAAGTTTGGATTTTTCTTGGTGGTTCATTCAGTTTGATTGAATGCAATAGATTTGTCTTTGTCTTACACTGATGGAATGCTGTTCTTACCTTCTTGTCTGAAGCAACAACTACTTTTCTGGGTTTTTCTGTCCCTTCATTTGATTGTTTTCACCTTAATGTTTGGATATGTTACTTTAGAAAGAAAGAAATGAAAAAAAAAAAGAAAAAGAAGAAGACATTTTAAGTAACACACTCGAGTTAAATTTAAATTTTGCAGGCATTTAATTTGGGAAGAATGTTATTACGAAGCGGCATCGTCTTTGGGCAGCCTTCAGGGGTTTTCTCGAAATGGGAGTCCAGAAATCGATTTTCCAGATTTCAGCAATTCTTCGGTTGCATTTGATAGCCTTAATTTAGGGCACGGTGTCTCAGAAAGGGACAAGGTGCATATTCTTATGGACAAGATGATGGCTGATGGTAATGTTAGAGCTGTTGGAGAAGGGTAAGCGAGTGAAAGCTTATATTTGTTCATTGCGTGCTCTATTTACTGTGAGGGGCTTTTACTAATGAGAAATTATTTGTCTCATCCCCCCCCCTTTTTTTTTTTGTGTGTGTTCCTCTCCAGATTGGTTGGGAGGGTTGTGTTAACCGGAAACTATAAGTGGATGTTGTCTGAGAATTATTGTGGAGAACCCCAGTCACTAGAGGTATGTCCAGGCTCCTTTTTTTACAGTAATTTATTATTAGCAAAGGTAAATTACCTGCAGTTTTAACATTTTTAACCTCAGGCACTTATGTAAAATTATCTCATCGATCGTCAATGCTTATTTAATGTGAATTTTAATCCTTTTGGTTTCTTATTATAAATGTAAGTGTCAAATGTTTGTTCCAATAATCTTAATAAAGCTCATTTTTAGGTGCAGTAGATGTTCTATAAAAAAATGTCTCTATTTATCGAACCTCTTATGCAGAAAATGAATGTGAATTCCTATCAGTTTTTGTGACCATAGCATGAATGAACATTTTATTTTTGGTTGGTGTTCCAGGTTCTCGAAGAAGCCCTTCAACAATTTTCAGCTGGCATAAAGGTATGTAATTTGCTCTTTTTTTTTTTCCCCCCTCTTTTTCCTTGTTTTTCTTTGTAATGTACCTAGATTTTGTTGTTTTACTTGCTGATTCCTTATTCTTTCCTCTTTCTTTGTTATCAGACAGTTGCAGTTATTCCTGTTCTTCCACATGGGGTAGTCCAGTTTGGTTCACACGTGACTGTAAGTTGTTTTCTTGTATGATTCCTCTAAAACTAAAATTCTTAAATAGCCGAAGATTTAAACGATTACAAAGAGATGATCAAGAACGATTTATACTAAAACACTTTTATGGCTAGATATTATTGCCATCATTTTGTTTTTCTTTATTCCCGTGATGTTTTTGTGTCCTTGGGTTTCACTGCTTTCTGATGCTCAACTCTTCACATGACTTAAATTCGAATCTTAAGTAACTGCTTGGATTCTAAATTTTTGATACGGGCTTGACTTTATACAAACATATACTAACTTCTGCACTACGCACTGTACGATTTTGCAGCCAATCAACCTTCAGCTTCTATTCGCAAATATAACCATTTTTTTTTTAAACTAAATGTATCTACAGCAAGTATTAATCTCTTTTCTAATTTTAAGGACTTGAGCTAGTTTTATTGAAGCGGAAATATTTTCGTTTATCAGATCCCAGAGAATATTGGATTCGTTAAAGAAGTGGTGTTGTTAATACTCGAATTGGGACAGATATCCGGCCTGCTGCAATCCGAAAACTGTGAACCGAAAGAACTCATGCCTGGGCTTTTGCCTCTGAGATCAAATACAATCAGCTCATCTTCTTACTCGGCCGGCAGTTTTAACTCTGCTGAATGCTCTGCTCAAACCTCACACGCGTTTGGCAACGGTCAAACATCTTTTCGAACCTCAAACTTTGTAGGCCAGTCTTTCGAGCCTTACGAACCCAAAATCCCTGTCCCACATTTAACCTCACCAAACCAATTCATTAACAGAGTTCCAAAAATTTCCAATGAATGGACAAATCTGCAATCGTTTTCTACGCGCATGTCTGTGCCCGAAATGAGTTCAGCCCAAATTGGTTTTAAAGATCAGATTTTTTCTGAAGTGTCGACTTCCAATAATGCCACTGACCAATCGGGGGACGATCTGTTCGATGTTTTGGGTTCTGATTTCAAGAGAAGGATGTGTAATAGCAGTTTGAATGACCGAACAGGAAATGAGCCCGCGAAGATCAGTTTTTCAGATATATTATGTCCTCTCGTCCCGGTAAAATTGGAGGGCGAGGATTTGTCCTTCACAGGCACCGATCATCTTTTAGATGCCGTGGTCTCTAAGGGTCAACCTAACAGGAGCTCGGATGGAAGTTTTTCTTGCGTGTCAACTCAGACCAGTGTTAGTAACTCCTCCGCTTCAAAGATTTTGCTGCCTGAAGGGCTTCTTGGGAATTTCAATCACACAAAGGGGGGACAATTGTTCGGTGAACAAAATTATGCAGCTAAGGGTAAAGAGGTTTCGAGTATGGGTAGTTGTGTTTTTGACACGTGGACCGAAAAGGGTTTTGGTTTGAAACCGAATGAGAGTAGTGTGGCCTCCGAATTTTCTACTAAACCGAATGCGACGAGCAAGCCTAGTCGGAAGAGGCCTAAACCAGGCGAGAATCCGCGGCCAAGGCCAAGAGATCGGCAGATGATCCAAGACCGTATGAAGGAACTTAGGGAAATCGTGCCCAATGGTGCAAAGGTGATGAACCTTTTTCTTTGAGAAAAAATATTTTAGTTAATTAAATTATGAGATAATTTTCAATTGTCCTTATACTTTGTCTTGTTTATTCTTAACAGTGTAGCATTGACTGTCTTCTGGAACGTACGATCAAGCATATGCTTTTCTTGCAAGGTGTCACGAAGCATGCGGACAAGCTGAAGCAAACTGCAGAATCCAAGGTGTGAAAAGAGAAGGGTTAATTACATACATATAAAGAAAGAAGAGAAGAAACTAAAAAAACTTGCAAAAAGAAAAGGGAAAAGTTCTTTCAAAGTTGTTTTGAATGATAACTAGATCTAAAATTGTAGGTTTTACGCAATGCATCCGAAAATGAAAGTATTATTGAGTTCTTTCTATTTTTTATTTATTTATTTATTTATTTTTTTTTTTTCAGATTATCAGCAAGGATGGTTGTTCGCTTATGAAAGATAATAGTGGAGGAGTTACATGGGCCTATGAAATAGGTTCGCGATCTATGTCGTGCCCAATCATAGTTGAGGATATAAGTCATCAACCCCATCAAATGGTTGTTGAGGTAAGTTGCATTTTCTTAAATTAACATAAAACATCCCATTATTTGCTTTTCTGCAAATAATTATATTGTTCTTTTATTTCATATGATTTTCCATTTACCGCAGATGCTTTGCGAAGAAAGGGGTTCGTTTTTGGAAGTAGCCGGTACAATCAGGGGACTTGGGTTAACCATTCTGAAAGGGCTCATGGAAAATCGGGAGGGCAAGGTCTGGGCTTGCTTCACCGTGGTGGTAATAATAATTTTCATGAGAAACGGGCATTTTAAACTGTTTATGGCAAGATTTTGGAATCAGCCGCTAACCGAATCATGGTCTTTATATTATTAACAGGCCAACCGCAATGTGACAAGGATGGAAATCTTCCTCTCACTAGTTCGTCTCCTGGACCAAAACGCGAAGCCCGGTTTTCCGAAGCCCAATAGCAAGCCCGAAAATGTGATGATCCAAGAGCAACACCAAACAATCTTTGGTACATGTTAAACGCAAGCCGAACTAATGAGATGGCAAATTTTCCTTTCCCCCAAGTGGACTCGGTTATTACGCCAAAAACAAGCTGAGTTAACAAACGAGACGGCCATTTCCCTTTTTCCTCATCCTCTACGGTTATTTGCTTGTCATAATTGCTTTTGAGGTTCAGGTTCCGGTTTTTGTCCCAAGGGCACATATCGCTTCTAGTCGGGCGTGTTCGTATGTCGTCTGATCGTGACTTTTTTTTTATGTGTTTGCTGCTTGTGATTTTGTGGTACTAAAGTTTTTCCAGAGTACCTGGAATGGATGACATATAGAAAAGGAAACAAAGCAGCTTCTTGATATACTAATGTAAATTAAGTACTATTTATTGCCTGTTAACTAAATCAGCTGTGCTTTTTTTTTTTTTTTTTTTTTTTTTTTTTTTTTTTTTTTTTTCTCTTGATTTGTTATCCTTAGTTCTCTTAATTTTCAATGAGTTTAGCTTATCCATGATTTATGTGTATTCAAGAGATTAGGAATTATAATCATAGAAGTTGTGTCATAGATAGAATTAGTAGAACATGCACGTGGTATTAAATTTAGGAAACATATATAAAACTTAAGATAAATATTTTTTTTTTGTTTTTTTTAATTTTTGAAATACTATTTTTAAGAAATCATATAATTGCAATGTTATTTGAAATTATATTTTTGTCTAATAATGAATTAATATACTTCTTTAAAAATATTAATTTAACTTGTGTACTATTATGGTTTGTTAAATGATAATAAATTTTTGTCACTTGTAGACATAAAATTAGTAGATAAATCTGAAATAACTCTTGTCACTAGTTCATATAAAATTAATAAGTGAATTTATTTTTAATTAGAACAGATATGTTTAACTTTCCTAAATTATCTCTCGTCGGAGAACGATCCAATTCTCTCGTCGGAGAGCTTAACCTTCTTTATTTCTGGGTGTAGTATACACAATCTTAATTATGTTCTCTCCGAGTCCTATCACCCTTCTTTTCATCGTTTTTTATCAGTATTCCTGTGCCTTTTAATCTAGGTTTTCTCCTTCTATATGGGAACTCAGATATGTATAGGGCAAGATAAAGAGCTCTCTCAGAGATTAAAGGATTTTTTTCTATCTGATAGAGAAAATGCTTTTATTGCCATTGCTCAAGATGATATAAAACTCACTGTAGAGGGGTGCCAACGAAGTCTTTCCGGCAAAATTACCGGAGATAGAAAAGCAAGTTGGATAGGGGTAAAATGAACGATGGAAGTGAAGAAATTAGGGTACAACTATTTCTAATTCATCTTCCACTATTAGTAGTTAGTGGAGTTTAATTGAATAAAAAAATTATAATTCTAATTAGTTGCGCCGCGACACGCGGTCAAATGGGAATGATCATCTTGAACAAAAAAATCTAAGGGACATATCAATCAACTGGAATGAATACTGGATTGAAATCAAGCCAAACAAAGAACAACTCAAAATGACTGTTGAGTAGGAAAACGAATTTCGATTACCAACAACGATAAACTGAACAACTCAAAATGACAATTGAGTAGGAAAACGAATTCCGATTAGCAACAGCGACAAAGTGACGTTTGATGTTACTGAAATTAGGCCAGACCAAATACAATGAATTTGTATCTTGCGCCCTTAGGATTAGTATATTTATTTATATTTTTGACAAGCTAATGTATTAGGTTTCTTTTTTTTTTTTTTTGTTTGCAATGGCAGATTCATTAACTAAAATACATAATGACAACCGACTAACTAGCTAGCTGGAATAAGAAAAATATAAAAGGTAGCCCATATACCATAACACACACTACAGAAACCAAACATAAAACAATAAAAAGATCCCATAATACATACTCCCAACAGGAAAAAAAACACACTTCTAAATAGAACCCAAAACTGCAACCCATATAACACGTACAACCACAAACACACACAAACCAACACAAAAAACTACTAATTTGAATCCTTCATCTACCGCCGACAAACAACATGGCAAGCCGCCATGCAACCAATCGCCAAGAGCGACCACCCTACGGACTGAAACCCGGTCCACATCGTCAAACTGAAATTGAGACAAGAGCCTAACAAGACCCAACCCCCCAAACCCGCGTCTTAGACAGGTGGACAACCCTCGGGCCAACATGCCAGATCAACTCCAAACCACAACCCCGCCTCTCTTAACAGTAATAAATTATTAAAGTACTTATATATTTTAAGTTTTTATAAATGTTAATTATAATTAAAATTAAACTTACAAAAAATTCGTTTTAATAGTTTCAAGAGACTTTCTATGGTCAAGTACCCCTTGTACCTACATAACACCAGGTACCTTCTTTGTCACCATTAGATTGACTCAAAAATAAATATCAACCATTAATATCAACCATTAGATTCAAGATAAGAGGGAGTACGAGGCAAAAAAATAAAAAATAAAAAAAAATAATAAAAAAAAATTGGTCTCCTCATTCTTGCTAAAAACCTATCATACCCTTATTTAATTAAAAATTAATTTAAATTCTAAATTATTAAATAATAATTTTATTTATTTTGAAGCCCATAAATCTAATTTGTATAACAAATTAACAATCCTTTAAATACAAAAACATATCGTAACAACCTCAACATTTGATTTACGAATTACATTGTTCTTGTTATTCAATTTTTTGTCATTTCACATTTTCAGCCATGACCAAATGTTTGATTTCCAACTCTGAACAGAGTTCGTGTGGAGAAGATCTTCCCCCATCCCCCATTCCTCACCAGATATTTTCTGTAAAAATCCCGTACACATAACCCCCCCTCTCTCTATCTCTCTCTCTCTCTCTCTCTCTCCCTCTCTCTCTCTCTCTCTCTCTCTCTCAAAAGATGGCACCCAAGGCCGAGAAGAAGCCGTCGAGGAGAAGGAGACCACAGACTACTGTGAGGCTGGTGCTGTCCGGGGAGTTGGCCAAGAATGCTGTCTCTGAGGGAACAATGGTCGTCACCAAGTTCACCAGCTCTTGAGTTAGTGTTTGTCTCCTTAGGTTTGAAATCGAAGTTTCTGATTAGGCCTAAGTTTAATTCGGATTTCAAGTGACATCTTAAAACTTTTTAAGATTTGAGACTTGTTAAGGTTTTTAGATTTTGGAAGAAGCCTTAACAAATCTTAAATACACCAGGATTTTGCATTTTTTTTTTTAATCTATATATATAATGGACCAATCTATATTGCCATAATTGGCATGGTTTTGGGCGGAAAATATTTTTGTCCATATTTGGCATTTAATTAATTATCATTTATCGACAAATCTTATATATGGAAATATAATTACTTTTTGTGTACCCAATGACTAATATTCATGACCTATACAGGTATTAATTTAGTTAGTTATATTTACCGATATAAGTAGTTAATATATTTAGTAAACTAATCAGAATAATCATGTTTGAACATTACTAATTTAATGAGTACTTTAAAATATTAATATTTTTTTCTAAATGAGTCAACTTAACCATAAAAATGTAAACCTCCATTGACTATCTAATTTGTAATGATAATACTATTAAAAATTAAAATAATATATCATTAAAATTAATATTTGATGGTCGGATACAAATCATAATTATAAATTTCACCATAAAAATATCTATGTACATTAAAATACTATTCGATATTTATTTAAAAATATATTTTATTATATAATATTTTATAAATAAAAATAAGTAAATAAAATAGTCAAGTATCATAATTTCATTATATTATAATAAAAAAATATATAATATATCTAAATATTCGAATGTATATTATTATCTTATTATATTTGTCGAAAAAATAAACTAAAAGAATAAATATGAATAGAAAATAAAAAATAAAATTAAATATTTAACCATGAAAAATTTGTGTTGCGGATTAAAACTACTAAAAAAATATAATTTAATTGTCAAACATATTAACATTTCACGCACTTGGAACTATAATAAAGGAGATAAATATCATGAATTAAATATTAGTCAATTATTGAACAATGTGAAATTATGAATTGTTAAAAAAGTTATAAGAATATAATTGACAATTTTATAAGTACATGTAAGTAATTTGTGTGCAAATATCATGCGATCATCTATATATTTATACTAATGAAAATAAAAATCTCTCGCGAAACAAACCCTCGCCGAAAAAATCCCTCGCCGACCGCTCTCCTTCGTCGTTTGTTTTGCCTTCCTCATCGGCGGCGGGGCTTTGGCCCACCGTCGCCCTTAATCGCCCGTCTTCCCTTTGGCTCCTCGACCGTTTGCTGTTGCGGTGTTTTGTCGGAAATCGTCGATTCGTCCCTACCCTAGGTCATCGGTGGAATGGCATTTGCAGGTGCCGAGCTCTTTTATCGGCGATTGGTCCAACGATTGGCGGTGTCGATTGTTGGCGGGTCTCGATTGGAGGTGTAAGGCCCTTTTATCCATTTTTGTCGTGTCTGGGGGCGGCTCTATTTCTCTGGTAGGGTTCGGTTTGGCTTTTCTCTTGGTTTCCGGCGGACTATCGTGTGCGCTAGTCGGAGGGTCGAAAAGTTCGACGGAGCTCCGGCGGCTATGGCGTCGTTCGTCGTAGAAGCCGGAGCTTGAGGACAATGTTGCTCTCTCTCCCCCACCCCTTTCTCAGGTTGGGCGTTTTGGGTTCCTTGACGGGCCTCTCCCCAATTTTGCCGCAGAGTGCAGAGGCTTGTCGGTTTGCTCTGTTCCTTTTCACCGGTGGATTGGTGATTGAAGGCGGCAAGCTTTTGATTGATGCCTGGTTTTGATTTGGTCTTCACCGGGCTCGATTGATGGTGTGTTCCCTCCTCTTGCCACTCCTGTCTCGGTTTCTCTTTTGCTGCGACTGACGAGACTCCATGGTTCGGTGATTGGCTTGTGTTTGGTTCAGGCGTCTGTGTGGGTGTGGGAGTTTGTGGCGTCGTTCTCTCGGTTGGGGGTGAATCGTTCTAAGGTGAGATTTGGGGTTCGGGTTCGGCTGCTTGTA